TTCTTGTTATTCTTGATGGCCCTGCGTGGTTATTAGTATGATCTTGTATTTAATTATATCTAGAGCTTGTGTTGGTCCCGATAGGGTGGTAAAAGTCCAGAGGGGGGGGGGGGTGAATAGACTTTTAAACTTTTTCACAATAAATAACTCTTTGGTAATTTCAACTCTAAGTAACAAGTAAATAGAGAAGTAATTAAATTGAAATGCACAGCGGAATAAATAAGTGTAAAGAGTTATGCCCAATCAATAATTTGAATCACATGCACGTGCATGGTAAGCTCAGATGAGGTGTAAGGATGACATGAATATCTTGAATATTTAAAAGGAGATGGTGCACTCAATATTTAACAATAATATTCAAGACTATAAATAAGATTTCGTGTCACGTCGACCGTATGATAAAAGTTACATGCAACACGTCAAACTTGCTTAGAATAATTCAAGAGTTAAGCATGGAAAGTTTGAGTTACATGCATACGTGAAAATACGGTAAACCCGAAAGATTAAAATAGAATGTGAATAGTAAAGGGGTTAGTCGGATGATAAATAAATAGAGCGAATTATGTAAGTGCGGTATGTAAATGAGAGAGGCTTTTTTAGTGGTTCGGAAGTGGCGTAATCTTCCTAGTCCACTTTACTCCATTCACTTCTAGGAGTAATTCACTATTTTCCACACACAGTTACAATAGTGAATAAGTGCTACACAAGCACTTCTTCCGGATGTCTTGCACACAGCTACACCCAACTCCGAGTGTGTCGCACACAGCTACACTTAACTATGAGTATTTCGCACACAGCTATACTCAACGTCAACTAAGTGTTTTGCACACAGCTACACTTAGCAACAACGAGTGTTTTGCACACAGCTACACTCACTAGAGTATTTGCACACAGCTATACTCTTCTAACAATTGCAAATACAAAGGTAATTGTATCTCTCTCCAACTATTTTTGAGACTATTCAGACTAAGTCTCTAAAGAATATTTGAGCACTTGCACTTGTTTATCTCGTGTGTATTCATGTCTCCTTTTTTGTATTCACCTCTATCACTTCATCTCATTCGTATGTTTCTTCAATTCTTCATGGCCTTTTTATAGATAGCCAAATATATCCGTTGGAGTGGGATATTTTGGCATTTGAAGTTTTGAATCTTGTAGCCTGATATTGTTGACAATGGTAGGTCTTCAATTTTGATTTGATTGTCAACTTGCCTGACAAGATAATATTTTATTTCAACTTGATTTTCAAGTTGTTTCTAAAATATTATTTTTCTTGTCTATTTTGAAGTTCCAACGTCTCTTTTGCAATAAGTTCTTCTGATAGAATTTATTTCTAGGATAAGATCTTTTATCCATGCCTTCATAAATTTTTCACCGTTCTGATCATATCTTTAGGCAATTTGGATTCTTGTGACATGTGAGATGTACCAATATAAATTCTTTTCGAATTTATACAATTTCTGATCTTCTTGCTTCTTTGTCACATCTTGCTTGTTTGACTTGTCACTTCTTGCTTCTTTGACTTGCTACATCGTGCTTTTCTGATTTGGAGGATTGTGCTCTTTTCGCATCTCGCTTCTTTGACTTTGGCACATTGTGCTTGTTTGACTTGAAGGATTGTGCTTCTTTTGAGACATTGTGCTTCTTCTTGAAACATTGTGCTTCTTCTTGAAACGTTGTGCTTCTTTCTGAAATCCGGCTTATAAAAAAAATAAATCCTTGGGAGGAATTGATCTCAGGTGTGATCATTGTATGTAAAAACTTCTACCATTTCGCCGTTAGGCTCATTCAATTTTTCTTTGCAACACCATTATTTAGTACTTCAGTTCCGAATGAATACTTGTAGGACCAAAATTAATTCTCCCAATTAATTTTGTTCTTCATGTGGTAGACTTTCCTTTGCATACTGACTTGATATTCTGAATTATGATGCTTGTACTAAAGACCTAAATACTAAGGGCATCTAAAGTACATTTGGCTCATCAAAACTTTATTACAAAAATATTCCTATCAGCTTGTCCCTAGGGTTTATATTGTGAATCTTGTTGTTGTAACGTTCTTGGTGTTCTTGGGTGGGTTTATGCATGCTTGGGTGTTGATTCTAGTTTAGGACTTGTCTTTAGGGCTTTGCATATACATTTCTTGATGTTCTTGAGGTTCTGAATGCTCTTGAACCGTTATGTGGTTGATGTCGAGTATTGACATGTTTAGGGATCATGTTAGGATGTAATTGTGGTGATTCTTGGTTTAATTCTTGTTAATCGAATCCGTGTTGTTGTTGATGTGTATTGGGATGTGTTTGGGCAAGATTTTGGGTTTAATTGAGGAATTCCTGAATGGGAAAAATGCCAAGTTACCTTCGTACCAGTGGGGGGTCGGTGGGGGGACGAGTCCCCACCTACCGCCCATTGGTACATAACCGTCGTACCAGCGGGCGGCCGGAGGGTGGCCGACCACCCGCCGTACACTTGCTGGTACGGGACGGTGTGGCGGGTCGTTTTTCCCCGTTTGTAGTTTTCACGTGTCTCATTGTGCCCCGTTTGATGAGTCTCGTGCGATGTTTTGAGTACCATTCTTGGAATTTGTGTGTAGTGTGTATTGTTGTTATTGAGCCTTGATTGTTGTTATTGATTTCTGTTGATTGATTGAATGGTGATGGGTGTTATTATCATTGCGCAATGATGGTTGTGATTGATGAGAAAGAAGATGTGATTGGTGGAAATGAATTGTTTGGGGTTAGCACAACGAGTGCTCGGTCATTGTGCTATAGGCACAAACAACCCTTGATTTGCTTGCTAAAGGCATGGATCAAGTTATAAGCGTCGCGGTGCCATGTCAGGCGCTATATGCACTGACCCCTTGATTATAGTGCTATAGGCACGGGTCATGCGAATGACACTGCGGAGCTACCATGTAGGTGGATTTGTTGGTGGTGTTGATGGGGGCATGCGTGCTCCGGAGGAATAAGGGAGGCGAAATAAGGGTGGCCTGGAGGTACAGGTTGGAACTGATATAAGGATGGAGATGAGTAAATGTTGGAACTTGGTATAAGGTTGGATGATGGAAGTGTTCTCTGTTGATTACTTGTTGTTATTGACTGTCGTTGAACTCCATTGTTGTCATTACTTGTTATTGGTGAGCTTATTTGTTATCTTATCTTGTAAGCGTAAGATGCATGCTAGTATCTCTATGATATCCATAATATCGTGTTATTGATTGTGTCTTGAGTCTTGATCTTGGTTTTAAAGTTAGCGTTGTCTAAGATTATATATGTATTCCAGTTTCAAAATGATTTCCTATATTTATACTTATTATACTCAACACGTGGGATTGGGTTACTCAGCATTATTCGCTGACGGTTGCTACAGCATATGTTTTTCATGTGCTGCTCATTAGCTTCGGAGCGCGCTAGTTGGACCCGTGGGCTTAGCTTAGTTAGTCCCTAGCATTAGTAGATGGCCTGCGTGCCGTGGATTGTATTTGAATGTTGATTCATGGATTACACATGTTTGGATAGTTTTAGCCTGTGCATTTAGGTTCTCAAACCTAGGTATGACATAGCACCCCGACTCTTATGGATAGTATATGCTCTGTTTGGATGATTATTGTTAGATTGCCTTTATTATATAAGTTTTAAATGTTTTAAAAATTAGGGGTGTTACAATCAAGATATTCCAAGCCAAGATCTCTTAGTTGGAGAAAGAAGAAACTTTTTCTTCAAACTTTGTAAATTCTACTCGGTAGAAGTAGAAAGAGACAGAGTAGACTGGTTATAATCGAAAAACTTGGTGGACTTCAAGGCCAGTTTTGTGTTCAAGGGTTGAACGTCCTATTGGACTAAGGGATAGTGTAATCCTCCTTAGGTGTTCCAATGAGAAGAGCGGAGTAGGTTGTGTTGGTCGAACTACTATAAAATCTCTCTCTCTCTCTCCCTCTCCCTCTCCCTCTCCCTCTCCCTCTCCCTCTCTCTCTCTCTCTCTCTCTATATATATATATATATATATATATATATATATATATATATATATATATATATATATATACATACATACTTTATTATTCATTGCATATTATCACGAAGCAAAACTTAAAATTTACCTAGAACAAAACATGCAAACGAATCGTAAAAGCTTTTAAAATCTATACAAGTCTATTCACCCCCCCCCCCCCACCCACCAATTCCCCTCCCCTCCCCTCTAGGCTTGTACCCTAACCCTACTAGGACTAACAATTATATGTGAACAAATCAACTTAGCTAAGGTAACGTAGATAAAGGGTTGGGGTGGGGGAAGAGGGTATACTACTAATGGTGTATTTGATTCACACATGGGAATTGGAATCAGAATGAGAATCAAATATTTGGTAATGGTAATGAGTTTTGGTGAAAGTATTTTGTATATTTGGTAGTGTGGAATTTGAATGATTATCAATATTGATGTTTGGTTATGTATGAACCTATAATGAGAATAAATGTTTTAAAAGTACAAAAATAAAAAAATCAATGCAATTGATCATAATATATTGACATCTAAAGCATCAATATAAATAAAAAAATCAAAACAAAAATCTAAAAGTACTAATCCAAACTTTAAAATTAGATTAACAATAAGATGGAATGATATCCAACCCCTTTTTAATTAGAGAATAGAATTTTTAATTGAAGGGGTAATCAAATCTCATAGTTGTGTTTAAAAAGGTTGTCAACCAAACACTAACTATGAATAAAACTTAATTAACTGATATTATTATATACTACATATAATTGAAAATTAAAATTGAGAAACAAGCAACATTTCTATACAATAAAGTATTGTAACACATTATCGAACACACTTTTTATGTTTTTGGTATTGTAAAAGAGTTAATTTCAGGAATGGTCCTTTGATTATTCACTTTTATTAATTTTTATCTTTAATTTTTTATTTAACCAAAAGATGACTATTGATTTTATTCTAATTTTGATCTGTTCATTAAATCTCAATTAGATAGGTGTTAAATGTGATGGCAAGAATGTAAAATCAAATCTTTTGTCATCTTCTTATCATTTCTTCTCCATTGTCGTTTCTCTTCTCCGCCGTGTCCAGCACCCCAGGCACCCCTTCACCACGTCGTCGACGATGTAGGTGAAGTCACGTGCCACCTCCTTATCCTCCTGCGTCACGTACACATTGATCGGCTTCCCCTGAATCATATCCTATCCTTGGTGAAGAAAAAGTACGCCATGTCCGGCCGCTCCCAGGGGCCGTACAAGGCGAAAAACCTCATCAGTCCGGTTAATGAAAGGCCATAAATGTGGTTATACGTGTGGGCGATTTCTTCGCCGGCTTTCTTGGTGGCGGCGTAAAGGCTCGCGGGCTGATCAGTCCTGTCGTCTTCGGAAAACGGGACGTCGGTGTTTAGAAGCTCGGCGTCGTTGAGGTCCCCTTCCGCGATGAAGATCTTGTGCTTCTCCAGAAGCTTCTGGCGAGCGCGTTTCAGGGAAGAGTTAAAATTATCCAGCCCTAGAACCCCGTCGCCGCGTTTCTTCAGGGCGAGAGAGCAGTGAGAGCCAACGAACCCGGCCGCGCCGGTGACCAGAACCGACATGCCGTTTGTGGCGCGGGGAGTGGATGAGAGGCGAATGAACGTGCTTCTCCCAGGACGCTCCACCGCCGTAGAAGGCGGACGAGAGCAAGTGGTTGGTGGCGCGGTTGCTGGAGTTATCAGCAACCGGAGGGTCCTGAAAGTGAACGAAACAGAGCTGTCCTTTTGTAAGAAAATGTGGTGCTACAATGGCGACAGAATGGTTTAACCGCGGAAAGTCCTGAAAATTGGTCACTGTTAGCCATTAATGGAGTTCGTGAGGAAAAGATGATGACATTCTGTCGATTGATTAATTTTACAGAGAACCTTTTCTTTTTCTTTTTTCTTTTTTCTTTTTTCTTTTCAGCCTCCCTTATGGCATCCTCAATAGTTGGGGATTTTACCCCTAATTTTTGTGGGCCCCAACATCCACCTCATCATCTATTATCTCACTCAATTACAAAATCACTTCTTCCCATTAGTTTGAAACTTTTTCACAACTTTTTGTGGACCCACCATTTTATTTCCGTATTTTAATTATTTCTTTATTATTTGATTTAAAAATTTATAATTTTAGAGATAAACATAAATGATACGTAAAAATAATACGTAAATTAGCATACGTAAAAATTGCAAGCTTTCATTTTCAAATTTATAATTAAAATAAACATAGTAAGCCTAATTAATAAATATGATAGTTATAAAATGAAAATTAAACAACTAATTGCTTAAAAATTAAATTACAAAGCGGTTAAAAATAAATTCAAATGCATAAAAATAAAAATACAAAGCGGTTAAATTAATTGTCGTTGTTGTTCCATATATGCTCAACCAAATCCGCACAAAGTTGATGATGCAAATTGAGAGAAATATAGAAATTGAGAGTAGGATGAAGTGTTAAAAAGTGGTGAAAGATGTGTTATTTATAGCAAATAAAATGATAATTATTAACAAAAAAAAAAAAAAAAACTAACTTATAAGTTGTGCCGTTGCAATTGCAACGGCAAAAATAAATTATGGTCGTTGCCATTGGCAACGGCCACAAAGAATTAATTTCAGAGTGGCCGCCAGTTGGCGGCCACTCTGAAACGCCTTGGCGGGCGACACGCGCCCGCCAAGCAGAAGGGTGAGACGCACCTGCGCGTCTCACCCTTCATTTGTTATTATTTTTTTTTTTTCAAAAATTTCTGACAAATTTTTTTCTTTTGCAGGAGAAAAATGAAGCTTATTTTTTGCCATCCCATTAGTTCAAAAGCAAAGGTAGGGGATTTTACTGTTTTAAAATGTGGGTGTGAATTTGAGCCTTAATGAAGACATTATTGACTCTTTGTGCTTCAGCAGGTTGAGAAAGTAGTTATGAACAGATACTACATTGTAATAGAGTCAAGAGCATTTAAAAAAATAGGAGCAATGGAAAATGAAAATTGAATTCAAACTTGTTTATTAAACGAAATTATCTCAATTTCTCCCTTTTTCATTAATTTTAAAGAGTTCAAAATCACAATTTTTCAAACAGAAAAAGTGAGAAAAAAAAATGTGTGAACAGTTCCTGCCAACGGTTTGAATCCCCTTTTCATACAACCACCCTCGTTTGTATTTTTCCCCTTTGTCCCCTCTCGCATTTTTCCATTTATTATTATTGTTGTTGTAGAAATGTATAGGCACCATTATTTACTGAGATCAATTATTTACTAACTATGAGAGAAAAGACATGGAAATGCTTATTAATATTGGAAGTAATAGGTAGTCATGAAAATTAACATATATAGAGTTAGACATGTCTCAACAGAGGATTTTGCAAACTATGTCTAAAATGATTGAAATAGTTACTTGTAATTTATTTAGTAATATGTTTTTATTAACTTTTGTTGTTGGTCCCGAAGGGTTTGAATACAAGTCTAGAGGGGAGGGGGGAGGGGATGAAAAGACTTGCATAGATTTTTGAAAATTTTTACTATTCAAAAATTTTAAACTTACGTTAGAATAACTTTTAGTTAAGGGTCTATGGCAATGAAAATACGTGAACCCTTTTTAAGTTTAACCACAATTTAGTCTTAGAAAATTTTAGGTTAGGTTGGCTTAAAAGCTTAAATGTAAATGCTTGTAAAGTAAAGAAAGAGATTGAGATTTTTATAATGGTTCGGCTATAAACCAGTCTACTGCACTCTTCTCCAAAAACTCAAAGAACAATTGAGCCTTGAACACAAAGTCGTCCTTAAATTTCTAGGTTTTTCACAAGTCACCACTTGTTACTCTGCATCTTTCTACTTCACCGAGTAGAGATACAAGTTTAACAACAAAATTTGTTAGTTGATTCTCCAACTTGTTGTAGACTTGGCACTTGAATCTTCACTTCTCGTGGGCCAAAGTCTGAGGTTGATATGGAATTGTAGCTCTTTTTCTCTTCCATCATTGGTTAGTTTTTTATACTACACCTTTTGTCTAGGCTTTTAAAGAAAATCCTCATTGGAATGTGTACCTAGGACTCCAATTGTCTTGATAACATTTTGTATAAAGTTCTTGACTTTTAAGGTTTCAAACTGTTCACTCAGAGAATGTCTCGAACAATTCATACGAGATGTCAACTCTTACCTTTCGAGTTAACTCTTCGTATCATAACCTTTGTAACCTTTCGGAGATGACTATCGAACAGTCATTATATTCATACTACTCGAATAATTTAACTCTTCGAATTTCCACTACTTGGTAAGGTTGGCACTTCCACTCTTCGGCCATTGCAACCTTTCGGTCTTCTTAGTCTTCTACTATTCGTCTTCAAGTCTTTGTTGCTTCAACTCTTTGTAACTCCTCGTTCTCTTTGACTTCTCGTTTGAGAGCTAAGTTTCCTACTCGAAGTGTAACTCTTCGAGTTACAGTTCTAACTCCTTGGAACTATTCGAACTAAAAAAAATTCCTAAATTTATAAGAGTAAAACGAATTGGGGACTAAAATTTCCTAAATTCTTTTATACATTTAGTATTAGTATATTGAATTTATTTTTATCTAAAAATTAAATTTGTAAAATGAAATTAAAAAATTGGAGAAATGGAAAACTAAAAAAATGTAGAATGAAAATTAAAAAATTGAAGAAAAATGAAAGACAAAGATATGAACTAAACAATCAAAATCTTAGAAGGCATTTGGTAGCCAAAAACATTTGAACTTTCTTTGAAATTTAAAAGGTGAAAAAATTTCTCATGTTTTGGTGAAGTTTTTGACTTAGAAAAACACTAGTCAACTAGGAATCAATTCCTTAAAAGTAAGGAAAATAAATATGACCTATGAGGGTATGATTCTTTTTTTTCTTGGGTTATTGGGGGAGTATAAAGTTTATTCATTTACATATTTATTTCTTTTTTTTTTTCTTTTTTTTTTTTTGTCAAGTTCAAAAAATTCTCCTATGAATATTTTGTAATTGTCTCTCCGCTTACTGTTGATTCTATTTTTTTTTTTTAAAGAAATTGGGTACCTAATTAATCCAATGACTTAGGTTGGATTTAACCTACAATGCTTCCCCTTACATGATGACATGACAGTATGACACTTTGGAAAGGCAATGTTTTTTATTTTTAAATGGTGACATAGGTTACAAGCTTGCAATCCAATTTCATCCGTTTGTACTTTTATTATTTTTATTTTATTTATTTATTTATTATATTATTATTATGTTTTTATATTATAATTAGTATTTGCCCCGTGCAATGCACGGAAGGAATTTGTTGTAATATATTAAGAATATTTGGATTGATATATAATTATTTAATTAATATTCATATTAATTTGGGCGGGGATGTTAAAAAGGAAGATTTTACTTTTATTAGTAATACAGATAGATTAATTTCATTTTGAAATTATTGGTTCACAGATTTGAAATTATTTATTTTTTCATTAATTATTCGCATTGTAAACATAAATGATATTGCAATAATTAATTTATGATATTTATCAAATTGTATCTTTTTAAAAATATAAAATTTGCACATGTTTATGGGTTAAAAAAAATTTATAAAATTATTTTTATTTTAAAAATATTTTCCAGCAACTCAAACACTCTCTTAGTCTCCCATAAAAAAACTGATAAAGAAAAATCATTTTATTAAAGAAATTAAAACTAATTAAATTAAATCTAATCATGCTATATTTATTTGTAACTGTATATTAATTTCATTTTGAAATCATTGGTTTACATATTTGAATTTTTTTTAATTATTCTCATTGTAAACATAAATGATCTTATGATATTTATTAAATTGTATCTTTTTTTTTAAATATAAATTTTTTTCATATTTAGGGGTTAAATAATATTTTAACTTAAATGAACCAAATAATTGAAATAACTTTCTAAATAATTTAGTTGTTATATTTGGGTAAAACCAGACCTTGTTAATTAATTTTTCTAATAAAATTAATCGGAATAGATATATTCTTTGTAATTATTTTTCTAAAAATTTTAAGGCAAAACAAATGAAAATAACAACCGACTTAAGAGTTTTTTTTTTTTTTTTTAAATGCTACTAGCTCTATTACATTGTAGTATCTGTTCATATACTTTCTCAACCTACTGAAACATAAAGAGCCAATAACGCCTCCACTGAGGCTCGAACTCACAACCTTCCAAATAAAAATTTAACCCGAATACCATTAGACCACATAATCCTGGTACTGACTTAGAGTATCTACATTTGTAAATTTTATTAAATTTTTGCAGACCAAAAAAAATTAAAAGTTTTTAACTAATGTGTGGATGGGATTTTGGGGTATTATTTTCCTGTAAATTTAGGTTTTTTTAGGAGCCCACAGGTAAGAGAAAAAGCAAAGCAAAATCCAAAGCCTACGCACAGGGACTGCGCCAGCTGGCGTGTGTTCCCTTACTTTAAAAAAAAAAAAAAAAAAAAAAATCCGTGTACGCGTCAGATTTTTTTTTTTTTTTTCTCCTTCTCTTTGTTTCTTCTCTCTTTGTCGGCTCATTAAAAATCGTGCAAAATATTAAACTGATATAGATGCTGTTATCAATTAATCAGTGTGGCGCGTCTAAACTAAAATAATGGTCTATATTTTCCAGGCCACAACCGACAACAGCACAATTTTTCGTTTTCTTAATTAATTGAGACACAGAACATAATATATAGCGGTCCAAAACGAATGAGCTAGAAGTCAAATACTTTGTACATGGATAGATACAGGTGACAGGACTGCAATAACTGCAAAAAATGCAAGTCTGCAACTAAATACATGTCTAGATGATAGAGATGAGGGAAAAATGATATTTTTTTCCCGTAAATTATATGTTTATAGCATATTTTTTTTCTGAATTATTCATGTAAACATATTAGCTCTTCAATTATTTTAAAAGTGACATTTTCTCCATGGTATATTAAATTGACATTTCTAGTTTTCTACTCTTAAAGTAAACATTCTATTTATTTTTCTTCTCC